ATAGATAGATAGATAGATAGATAGATAGATAGATAGATAGATAGATATTTGTTTTCTTAAGTTTTCGCGGGTACTTACATGTATGTATTCAGCTTTGTTCGGGTATTTTCCCACATAATTATAGTTGTGCTTTTAAAGTTGTAGCAACATTTCGCAAAATCTCATCTGCCATCATCAGGCTTCTGTATTGTGTTCGTCTGTGAGTCAGACTTTCACAGCCGTTTCAGTTTTAAATTTGGGGCTAGCCTACTGCTGTGCCAGAATGGTTTTTTTCTTCATCCTGATTGGTTGGGAGTTTGGTCTGTGTTTATTGGTCTTAGAGTTTGCTGTGTTCTGCTTGATTGGTGTTTCTAATATCTTCTGTCTGTTTTGTGGCTTTTTTTGTCTTGATTGGCTGGCAACATTGTGTTCCTGTATTGGAGGCTTTTAGTGCAGCTTGGCTTCGAGTAAATGGACGGCTATCATTTATTAGGAAGCTAGGTTTCATCTGGGTGCCTGGTTGGGGTGTGTTTGAGTTGGAGGTATCAGGGGGAATGTGTTTGTGCCCAGGTGTTTGCCTGGCTTGTGGTGTGGAGATTTTTTTGTTTGTGAGTGCAGGTTTCCAAATAATTGACAGTCTGGTGGAATCATCTTTTCTATTCATGCTTTCAGTTCTTTTTTCAATCTCTATGGCTTCTCTGATAATTCTGTGGCTGGGGTTTTCTATAGTGGCTAGGGTTTTGGTGCCATTGAAGTCGATGCTATGACCTGTTGCTTTCATGTGTTGGACTAGTGAGGAAGTGTGTTCCAGCTTTTTTACTGCATTTTTGTGTTCATCCAGGCAGGTACTTATTCTTCTATTGGTCTGTCCAATATATGTGGCAGGGCATGATGCACAGGGGACTTCATATATGCCTTGGTTTTCCAGGTCAGTTTTATCTTTGGGGTTACTACACAAGCATCACATCAAGACTGCCTTCAAAACAGACAGAAAAATAGCAGCCATCCTAAGAAACCCCAAAGATAAAACTGACCTGGAAAACCAAGGCATATATGAAGTCCCCTGTGCATCATGCATCAGCTTTGTTCAGGTATTTTCCCATGTCATTATAGTTGTGCTTTTAGAGTTGTAGCAACGTTTGCCATCATCAGGCTTCTGTATTATGTTCGTCTGTAATACAGAAGCCTGATGATGGCAGATGAGATTCTGCTGAAACGTTGCTACAACTTTAAAAGCACAACTATAATGACGTGGGAAAATACCCGAACAAAGCTGAATACCATATATGTATATATATATATGTATATGTATATGTATATGTATATGTATAAACATGATTATTAATACATGAAATAGATACGAATAAAAGGGAACATTAAGACAGGGATGGTAGGCACATCGGTGTGCTTATGCACGCCCCTTACAGACCTCTTAGGAATGGGTAAGGGCAACCTCTCTTAAGCTTTGCCGCTATTACCTTGAATGTAATTTAGCTGACTGAGAAGAGTGGCAATTAAGGCAGGACAGAAATTGGCAATTAGGGAAACAAATTTCATGCCAGTGTAGTTTTCTTCTAAATCAATGACAAGTAGAGAATAACTCATCCATGGAGAAAGGCCTTAGAAAGGTCTCCTTTTTTGTTGGAAATATACAAATGTAACACATAAAATAGATTAAAATAGCACACTCAGATAGAGTTCCCTCTCAATCTATCCCAACCCATTTTATGTGTTACGTTTCCTATCCTTCCACTGGAAAAAGAGACCTTATAGGGCCTTTCCCCATGGAAAGTTTCTCCTCTCTTGTTAATTATTGCCTATAATATTGCTGTACGGCAACCGCTGTAATGAATTCATAGTTAACAGCTTACACATGTAGCAAGGCTATCAAACTATGTAAGGTGTTATTTTACCACATCAGGCGCTACTCTGTCAATAGCTAACCGGATAAGTAAGTGGAAAGTGCAGGCATTCAAATGGTAAACCTGGTTCTTTCCCTCTGCATAAAGGATGACCACTATTCAGTAGAGCAGGGGTCTCCAACCTTGGCAACTTTAAGACTTGTGGACTTCAACTCCCAGAGTTCTTCAGACAGCAAAGCTGTCTTAAAGTTGCCAAGGTTGGAGACCCCTGCAGTAGGGCAGTTGTATAATTGGCCTCATGAGATAAAACTATCAGGTCTGATTCCTGTAAAACAATTTGGGTCTAATGGGCAAAATATTGAATTCAGTGATCTTCAAAACCCAGCTGCCATAGGATTTCATGAATATTTTCATGCACCCTAGACTGAAGATACAATAAGCCCATAGACTCAAATATAAAATGACAAAAGCAAAATATGAACCCTTTGAGAGTAATGATCAGAGCAACTCCACATCAATGGACAAATGGAATGAACAAGGTGAACATTTAATGGTAAACGTGATAAACTAGTAGCAGACAATGTTAATCCAAAAACCCTGATTTTTTTTTATCTGAAATGAATGAACTGTAAAATTCTGTTGAATCGGTCCCATTAAAATGTATAATGCATTTAGTAAATTAAGAGAAAGGAGATTCTGAATATTAAGAAGCATTTACTTACTTACTTACTTACTTACTTACTTACTTACTTACTTACTTACTTACTTACCGTATACAATGTTAAGGAAAGCTATACATGTTAGACACAATGTAGTCCTGACAGCCTAGATTGCTAGTTCATTCTGTTGATTTGCGCGCTTATCCTTGGTGCACCGGGGGAAAAGGGGGGACTAAACTAACTAGTGGTGCTTGGATTGCTGGCTCTTCTGGGTTCCTTTGCCAGTCTCACCTTTCCTCACCTCGTGTCACAATGCCTTGCATCTGGCCAGATCCAGTGCTGGCTTCCACACACATGAACACAACTAGTTCCATCCTCCCCATCAAAATGATACCCATTTACCTACTTACAATATTGCCTGATTTTGAACTGTTAGGTGGGCAGGAGTTAGGGATCAAGTGACAGGCGCTCACTCTGTGTCACAAAGCTGTACTCAAACCATTGGATTGCAGACTATTTCTGGCTGGCAGTTCCAGTGCAATTAAGCCTCTATGCTACCACACCCCCAATTTGACAAATAAGAACTGTGAAGTAGAACAACATGTTGGTTAGAACCATGCTGAATTCCTTTGTCTAAAGATGATCAAATCACGACTGATGGCAATGCCACTTCAAGATGAAGATGATTTCATGCAGGGGTCTTCAAACTTGACAGCTTTAAGACTTGTGGACTTCAACTCCCAGAATTCCTCCTCCAGTCATGTTAGCTCAGGAATTCTGGGAGTTGAATTCCACAAGTCTTAAACTTGCCAAGTTTGAAGACCCTTGATTTAATGTATTCTTGAACTGAGCAGGGGATTTGTATTAGATAACCTTTAATATCCATGGTGGCACAAAAGCCATGGTAGTGCAGTAGTTAGAGTGCAGTGCTGCAGCTACTTCTGCTACCTGCTGGCTGCCTGCAGTTTGGCAAACCTCACCAGGCTCAAGGTTGACTCGGACTTCTATCCTTCTGAGGTGGGTAAAACGAGGATCCAGATGGTTGGGGGCATTATGCTGACTCTGTAAACCACTTAGAGAGGGCTGTAAAGCACTGTAAAGCGGTATATAAGTCTAAGTGCTATTCCTATTGCTATCCCTTCTAGCTCCTACAGAAAATCCCCACTTTAAGGCAACAAAACACTTCACTGTATTGGATGTCCATCATGTGGTAACAAGGTTTGGAAAAAGTTCATACATTAGGTACATTTTAATATATTACATTCATTTTATCTATCCCATTCACCATTTAATGGTTAGTCAGTTTTAGTGACCTCCTTCCATCCTATTTATTCACTAAATCAAGCATTTGCTGGATTTTTAATTTTTGGGGGGTTGATTCTACTATTTCACAGCTATTTGGGGATGCAATCCAAGAGATGCCTGCAAGGGTTGAGATTGTGCCTGGAATGTGTCTCCACCCTGCTTGGAAGAAGACATAGAGAAGTTGGATGCAAAATCATACTGCCCAGTCTTATTGAATATCCTACCGCTTCATTAAAGGGTGTTCAAAGATAGAAGCAATCTTTTGGAACAGATACAACAGCATCATCCTAGCTGTGAAAATGCTTCTAGTGGAAAGCAGTTCAATTCACCACACCTTTAAATTAAGTATTTGGTACCAGTGGGAGTGGTGATTAAATGAATATTTCATTGATGATTTCCAACGCTTTTGCTATCCAATAAAAAAAAGCAATGCCAGGAAAGTACCCTTTGGGCGATAATCTCAGGCTCTAAATAA